TGCGAGGGAGACGGGAGCTGCGACGGAAGGGCGCTCAGCGCGCGGGAAGGCAGCGGGGCGCCGCGTCGGCCAACGCGCCCGGATGGTGCTGCAGCCGGCGGCCCCGTCCGAGCCCCATCGCCGTCTCTTTAGTCCATGTTGGATTCTTAGCGCCACCGCCAACAGGAGGAGGAAGCTGGGCGGAAGCGATGACGTTATCCGAGCAGCCCAGCTGCTTTCGGGGAGGGAGAAAGACAGGCAGGCAAGGCGCCAGCTTGCTTCCCTCCCTCAAGATGGTCGGGAGCGAGGAGCCACCGGCCAGGCGCAGAAGGAAGCGGCGGCGACTCAGCCTGGGCTTTGCAAACGCGTCGCAGCCCTCCGCTGCCGCCCCACGGCCTTACAAATCGCCGCTGGGACCCCTGGCCCGAGGGATGCGTCCGGGAGTCGTTCGGCTCCTGTTCCAGCCCTTCATCTGTGCAGCCGGCGGCCTCGTCGTCTCGGGGCGGCGCTGGAGCGAAGGTTGCAGGCCCACGTTTGCAGCCGGGGTCCGTGGGACCCGCGCAACGGGCGGTGCGGGGTCCGAGAAAGCGCTTTTGAGCGCGTGCAGAAGGGGTGTGTTTGGGTGTTGTGAATGGCAGAAGGCGCTTTCCACGTGGCTCTTAAGCAGAACTCGAACGAACATTAGGCGCTCAGTAACACCTTCCTTCCTCCCCTAATCAGAAAACGTTTCTCACGCGCTCTTTAACCCACATTGCTGGAGAAACAGAAGCAGAATTACTCAATTCAAGTTTAAAGACGGCCTCCGGAGACCCGAGCAATCCAAGTGCGAGGATAGAGTTTCCTTCACTCCTGCCAATGCTTCAACCGGCCTGCTCTTTTTTTTTTTTTTTAACGCGAGCCCACTGAACGTGGATGCTGTATTTCGAGGGCAATGGCAAAATGGAAAAGTAACCTTTGCTGTGATGGCCCCAGGCTCTTTTAGGCCTGGACTTTCCAGTGAAAAGGCCCTCTGACCAGAAATCAGGGTATCCAACTTCCCCACCTGGGTTCTCCCAAAGTGCTGTACAGTACAGTACTTCATCTCCCACAATCCCAAGCCAACAGGCCTTTGAAGCTAAAGAATATGGGAATTGTTTCAACACCTCTTGAGGATGTCATGTTGGAGAAGGCAACACTGACAGCTCAGTAAACTGATTATTTAATGGATGGCTCTTTGGGGAGTTCCAGGGATAAAATATTTCCTTTCAAACCTAAGCAAAACTGTACCATTAATACTCTTCACGTGCATGTATAGATTGTCCTCAATAAAGGCTTTGTTCCTCAAGCCATCATTAATCAATACTAATAAGACATGCACATTGTGGAAATCTACCTGAATGTGTTGTTGACATAATGTGTGTCTTTCTGAAACCCGAAGAACAGATTTTCCAACTTCAAATTGCTTTGTATAAAACAAAACTACAAAAAAATATATAGATCAGTGTAACTGTTTTTCCACGAGTGTTCTATTTCACATTTCTTCTGGTGTTTCTTTTGAAAAGGAGGCGTACTTAGGAGGATAATGAGAACCAAATCAAAAGTATTTAACATCAATGAACTTGTGAAAAGAACCCTGGAAGGAGTTAATGACTTGAATTAAAGCAATGCCAGAAATGCCTAGCATTGGGTTAAAAAAAAAACCAGTTACCTCAATATCCAGCTTTATAGCAGCAATTTTAGTCTTGTCATATTGATTAAAGCAAATAAATTACTTGAATTAAAAAATTAAATAAAGTGGAAACATATTCTATAAGTAGGTTAGCAAAATCCTCTAGCAAGATTGTTTCTGCCACTTTGCAACTGGTGGTGTGTTCCATCTTTTAACCTTAGCGGGATTTTTGTTACTGATGGTAGTGATTTTTTTGTCTAGGAAGGGGAAAAAAATGGTCACAACGGTGCTAAATAAATGTCAAAGTAAAACAGGCAGCATACTGCTAGGGTTGAGTGTTTCATAATAATCTGTATACAGTATTTCATAGAAGCTTTTAGTTACCCTCTTCACTATTCAGATGGACTTCTTTGTCTGCAGTCTTAGTTTATTTCTTGTTTTCTTAAGTCACTATTGCAGGCTTATATAAAGCAACTTCCCCAAAGGCACGCTGTATACAGAATCTCATGCAGACTAATAAGTCATGATTGCTATGCATTTTAAGTGAACACCATGCATGGCTATTATCATATAATACTAATGGGCAATTTTGTAAACCTCACATGAGTGTACAGCGGTGCCTGCTGTGACTAGTCCCATAGGATTAGTTATGTCTTATAGGCAATAACTTAATAATAATAAACAGCATACCTAGCCCATGTACTTATCAAAAGTGGTGAGAATGTATGACTTCTCTATTTTAATAAGCAGGGGGTTCCAGATGTAGTTTCTTCACAAGTGCAGAGTTACTTATTTTATGAGAAGGCCTTGCTCCAGATTGTCCTCTGAATCAGATCTGATGGCAATTAATGAAATTAATGGGGCTCCATTCACCCTAGTGAAAACTGCATACTGCGATCACAAGGATTGTCGTGGATACCACTGCTGTGACTCCTGAGTGCTGAGTTTGAAGCTTGATAACCACTTCCTCTTGCTTGCTTTGTTTCTCATCGCAAGAAATGGCTGTTCTTAGAGGAAAGGCTCCAGACCAAAGGCTATAATTTCCAGATAAAGCTGAAGCCTGACATCTTGCAGGAGAGAAAAGGAAGGATGGAAATAGACCACAAAGCAGAACAGGATTTCTCAGATTCCCACCTACCCCCTTTCTTTTAAGCTGGCTGTTTGAGAATTTTGCTGGTTAGTGTTTTGAAAGTGTTGGTCCAATCTAACAATATATACTGTTGATGCTGTACAGATTCAGTCACTGATAAAACAACAATTATGCCTATGACAAAAAACAAACAAACAGGTTAATTCATGTTGTGATCAATGTAAAATGGTAATTTGTTTTTACATTTATTCTACTCAGATATAGAGGAAGAACTTTCAGGCACAGTATATATCCGAGTAGAATAAATTAAAAACAAGTTACTGTTTTACTTTGATCACAATATGAATTAATCTTTTTTGCTTATTTTACTTTAAAATGGGAAGGCTGTCTGAGTTTCACTGTGAATATAATAATGGAAACAAGTAAGTTCTTCTCTGTGTCATCTTCATTTGTGGGAGGTTATGGTTTGCCTTCAACTCAATAGAGTAAATACACACAACACACACATGCACATACAACACATATAAAGTGCAACAAATGTCAGAGAATGGGATATGGTGTATTGGCACAGAATCGGTATTACAGAAAATAGAGCAATGTGTGGAGAAATCTTATGGGTGCGATATTAGGAAACAAAACCTAGAAAGGTCCTAAACCCAAAGTAAAAGGTAATGATCAATGTTTCAATTTAAAGGAGTCTTATTAAGTAAAATATATATTGTAAATTAGCTGCAAGTCAGCATTAAATTTATTTACCCAATTTATATCCCATCTGATTCCACAAATTCTGGGTCAGAGTTTTATAATTATAAACATAAAAATGTGTTGTGGCAGATATAGACTCTGAACTTCCTAGTATACTTCGACATCACAACTTTATGTACATCCCGAATACGTGTCACTATAATGTATTCACCTCCAATGTATAATGTGTCACTATAATGTATGGGATGAATGCAAGTTTCTGACAGTCATTGACTAATGTTCTATACAAAATCTAAAATTATAAAATACCAAGGAAATTAAGAACCAAAAATAAAGGTAAAATAGATGTGTGAAGTGCATTAAAAGAATTTAAGTGTGCTCTTAAGATACTAAAAAGAATAAAACAATATTAAAAAAAAATAAGATGTTAAGTATTGTGTATATAATTACAAGGATATTAAAAGCTGTATTAAGAACCCCCCAAATATGAGTTTGTTAAGAAAAACTATAACCTCCCAGAAAATCAGAGGTGATGCTGAACTTTATAAAATCAAAAGAAATCCATCAAGGGTGGGAAAAGAACTTAAGTGTGGTGTGGTAGAATAACATTTTGATGTACAAAGTAGGCTTTAGAGATTGCAGCTTGCACAAAATACCAAAAACTTTCTGGAGGGAAGCTGAGCTTTGGTTGCCCTTATGTCTTATGGCAAAAATGTGTCAAAATTGTACTTAACATTAGCTGGAATGCTGCAGGTGGCTTTGGTATGACTAAGGCTAGTATCTTAGTCAATACCAGCAGTGTCAAACTCAAATAGAAACAGGGTCCACTAATCCATACATAAGAATCCCTGTGGACCACTTATTGACAGAAAACCACACATTTGTATGTTTCTTTTTTAAATAATACATCAACCCATTAAAATAAGAATGGAACTAGATATGACTAATAGATAAAAATAAATATTATTATTATGAACTTGAGCTGTACAGATTCAGTCACTGATAAAA